GGGTCGAGATGGTAGGTTTGTTAGTAGATCTGGCACATCATCTGCGTCCACTGTGTCTGCGGGTAGCAGAAAACGGTCGAGGGTCGTTAATGATTCTTGGATGGTGAGGGGTGAGGTGGCCGGGGGACCTATAGACGGGAGTGTGATTCCTAGCTTTTTAGGACACATCGCTACCCGTATTTGGGAGGACCAGGAGAGGGCTTTGGATACAGGCATTTTGAAATGCCAAACCCGGGAAAAGACTTGTAGGTTTTTGTGTAGCTGGGCTGATGCTTGGCCGGAGGAGAGCGAGATGGTCGGGCGATTGAGGGCCACTAGAGTCAGTCACCTTCCTGCCACCATGCACGACAGGATTGACTGGACGCTGATCACGGCTTTCGTTGAGCGATGGCAGCCGGATACGAACTCGTTCCACCTTCCGTTCGGTGAGATGACGATCATGTTGCATGACGTCGAGGCCATCCTTGGGATTCCCGTGGAGGGAAACCGAGCATCTGTCGTCACTGATGCGGATCAGGCAGATTTACTAGCGGAGCTGTTGGCGGTGGATAGGGCTGCGCTGTACACATCGGCACTTGGTGTGTGGGATCACGGCGGCGTTAAGATCGCAGCCGTCTTGCAGCGATGTTTGCACCCTACGGCACGTAGGACGCAGGACACACAGCTGGCTGCATATGTTTTTCTTCTTCTCGGGTGTACCTTGTTTCCGGATAAGAGCGGGAACAAGCTCAGGCCACGCGACATAGTTACGCGTGTGAGCCCGACAGAGTAGGCCAGTTTTCTTGGGGGTCGGCTACGCTGGCGTATCTGTATCGCCAGTTAGGATTCTCGAGCCGGGCTGATGCAGCAGGTATCACTGGATGTCTGACGTTGTTACAGACCTGGATATACGAATATTTTCCTGCGTTTCGACCACACCGCGACCCGGTTCCCATTGGTGATGGCCAGCCACGTGCCTGTGCGTGGAGTCCGCGTGTCGAGAAGAAGTCCGTTGACCGCCTGCGCTCCATACGGTTATCGCTTGACAGGATGTCCCCCTTAGAGGTACAGTGATTAAATTATTTCTACTTTTACAATCTGATGCTTTATTTTATGACTGTTACTGATTTTAAATAATGTGCAGGTGAACTGGATGCCTTTCGGCCAGAACCCTAGTAATAGGGTACCCAGGACCCTCTACACTGGACTGATTCAGTATCGCGAGATCGTAGAGGCGTACATGCCGCAGCGCTGTCTTCGCCAGCTTGGATTTGTCCAAGTTGTCCCACCTCCACCGGCATGGCCCAGTAAGGCGGTACGATCTGCGTCGTCGAAGGAGTACGTCGTCCAATGGCCGTCAAACATGATATCCATGTGGGAGCAGTTTTCGATGGTTGCCCGCCTATGGACGGCGGAGCTGCAGCGGCCGCCAAGTGGGGTGACTGCCATGTGTGACCAGCACTACATGGAATGGTACATCCGGCACTCGCACCCGAGGTTGATCAAAGACATCGACGACGCAGATGATGACGATGTGCCACCTGCCACTGCCTCTTATGCGGTACGTCTCATCTTTTATTTGTTGTTCTCTTATTTTAATATATATATGTATAATACGTCGTTTCATGTTTTTTGTTTTGTGTAGTGGATGGGCAAGATTATGCAGTTGGGACACCGACTTTTTGAGGAAAGGGACTGCATGACGAGTGCATCAGGCAGAGCTGTTATTGACGATCTGGAACGGACCCTTGAGCAGTGGCAGTGGGCGTCACAGAGGGATTACTGATATTTGAAATTAGACATTATATTTTTAGTTTGTAATATTTGAAATTATTGTTCTTAGTTTTTAAAATTCAATATTATCTTTTTAGTTTGTAATATTTGAAATTATTGTTGTTAGTTTTTAAAATGAAACATTATCTTTTAAAAATGAACACATAGAAATGACATAGTATTGACGGCCCAAGAAATCCAATAGCAACGTCCCTTACCGGTATGGTGACGGTCTCGCGCGAACACCAGGGCAGAACCGTTGTACATGGATAATAGGCTCGACTATGTAAACCAAGGCCGAAATGCATGACTGCACACTTGTAGATGTTGTCGAACCTTAACTCGGAACTGACACCCACAACCTTTCCGCTTTGAGTCAAACCGAATCGCTTTACTGAAATCTCGTTCTTCTCTTTTGCGATAACGGTCGCATCTCAAAATGCGATCCATTCTACCATCCCGTTGAGATTTATGAGTTGCTACTACTAAACAAAAGCCTGATCTAATTGCAACCTGTTTTGCCCAATCAATCGCTTGTTGAGCATCTTCGAACAGGCCATCATGTACAAAAATCCCACTGTAATCATTTCCGTCTCCACCATAATCCTGTAACAATAACATATAACGTATAAATATAATTACATTAAGATTAAATTAACAAAAACAAACAAAAAAAAAAAAAAAGGGGATTAAATTAAAAAATAAAAATAAAAAAATAAAAAAAAAATATTCCCCTACTGGCGCCTGGCCAGGACGCCGGAGCCACGGCCGGGGCGCCTGGTCAGGACGCCGCCGCCATGGTGGCGGCGTGGTGGCCAGGCGCCTTGGCCGTGGCTGCGGCGTCCTGGCCACGCGCCACTACTATGGTCGAGGCTTCTCCACCAGGCGCCGTGACCACGGTGGCGGCGTCCTGGCTAGGCGCCACAACCACGGCATGGCCTTTTGGCTAGGCGCCAGCCACCATTTCGTCCTTACGATGCGTTACGAACCTCGTTTTCCGATGACGACGGCGATTCTCCGGTGATCCTCGGCGATCCGGTGCTGCTCCACATTTTTTTAGTGGGAAAAATTTATCTTCCGTTAAAATTATAAAAAGGGCAAATTTGTCAAAAACTTATAAAATGTGGGCTTTATGTAGAGATTTGCGGGCGATGAATAACAAGTCCCAAAATTAAAGGTTGATATATCAGCCTTATAATTTGTATTACCCCCGAACAAAATTAGCACAATTAAAACTCCGTAGAAGTTGGAAGGTGTAGGCGTCGTTTAAAGTGCGCCTACGTTAGCATGTTGTGAATATGCTTGGCACTCATAGGCAGTGGGAATTGACATTATACGATTAGAGACAAGGAAAGTAGAGAGCTGCCAACAAGTTTTTAAGGAACTGGTAAACCATTCACGGATCATAAAAGGTAACCACGAATAAAGGGACAACGATAGGCAACAATTGACCCGTGAAGGTTACACCCCATTCATAATCCATGGGATTACTAACTCCATATGGTTCGGAACCACAAAGGAGGATCGGGGATGATGGTACGAAGTGAGTCATAGAGTCACATTCGCCCGTATTGGCCTCTACTCGATTCTTATAATGAAAAGTGATTCTTGCGATATCAAAGGCATACAAACAAAAATTCAATTTGCTCCAAACTATTATTATGCTAAATTGGTTGAATATTAATGCAACATATAATTCTAAAATATTAGTGATCACTTGATTTAATAACAAGATTAAAAAGGATCTTAAACCAGTTGTCCAAATTATCTTATTAGGCGTGATTTGCAATTACATATTCCCTTTAAACATGCAATATGGTGATCAATAAATATAGTAAAATCAACATTAATATTGGAAGCAATTTAACAATAATATCGTAAGTCAAATCAAATATAAATAAACCTAATCATGATAATAGCAATATTAAAATAAAATAAGTAATTAAATTAATTAATTACTCACATTCCGCGCGTTCCTTTAAATTGCTACATCATGAATAAATTGTTAGTAACTTCAATAAAAAAAATATAAATCAAATGGAAATTAAATTAAATAAATGTAGAGTTGATTTGGTTGGTCCAAACCCTCAATCAATTATACCTTTCACGTTTTGGTTTAAGGACGGTTACTCGGGTCGAGTATATATGGACTCCTTGGAGTGCTTAAGGGTAGAATGGTGTAATTAGGAATATATGTTTAAGGCTTAGAGTATGAGAGAGAGAGAGAGAGAGGAGTGATTTTTGGTGTAATAGAGAGGAAGAGAGAATGATTTGGTGCCCCGAACTGTAGAAAGGAAGGGGCTTTTTATAGGGATAAATGAGCAGGGGGAACACGCGGAACCCTAAAAAGATAAAAACCCTAAAAAAACACTGTCGCGACACGGCAAACTATGTCGTGACACGGTATACTTTAGTGTGACGCGGGGAGACTTGGAGTGACACGGGAAAGTATTAGCCTACGGAAACTAAAAACGCGTGAAGAAATTACGCGGAGAAAACACGGAACAATCCGGTGTCACGGCATGGGCACCGTGGCACGGGAAAATATGTCGTGACGCGGCGAGATTTCCCGTGGCACGGCACTTCGGCACCAGGCACCGTGCCACGTCAGATTTGCCGTGACACGGTGTTTTAACATTGTGCGCAGTAATTCCAATTTTTAAGCGTTTTTAAAACCATGATAACTTTTGATCCGTAACTCGGAATAAGGCAAATAATATATCATTGGAAAGCTTATCAAGTCTACTTGCCAACCCTATTGGAATCAGGTCAAAATCATGTGTAAAATTTAAGATATGACCGTTTTACTGAAAGGATATCAATTTTGGGCCGAGTTTAATATTTTGCTCATATCTTCTTCGTTTTAAATCGGAATTGCGCTTATGATATATTGTTGGAAAGCTTATTTCAAGTCCTATCCAACCAAATAATAATTGGATCAAAATTATAAGGCCACAAAATCAGTTTCTCTCGGTTTTGTTATGTGAACACGAAAAGTTAATAGTAAGTTATGGTTTAAGGGAATGAATTATGAGTTGGATTGGTTTATAAAATGTATTGAATGGAAACATGGATTTAAACACTCCAAAGATTAAATACTCAAGCCGACCAATAATGGCGGTAAAAGGTTGTTCATCGGGTTTGATTTTGGGGAGACAATCTTAGGTGTCTACATGAGGTGTTACGTACAAGGACCTTTCTACTACGTAGAATTTACATCAATCAACTCGAATACCTCATAAAATGAATTAACACAAACACCTAATTATTATATGAATTATTATATGAATTTTTAAAATTCACATTAGCATGAGACATGGTAGCTATTAATATTAGCTGCAGTCTGCAGATTTATACACCGTGTTTTACCACATGACAGCTACTAAATCAAGGATAAACTAGAATGTGTCAAAAGGAAACAGTATAAAAGAACTGAGAGTATCAATCTTTACTCTACATTAGGCCATTAAGGCAAAAGTATATAAAATTAAGGGTAACCCGAAGTCTAAAATATAAAGACCAAAGCATAATTCTCTTTTTTCTAATTCTGCTGGAAAATTGCTGTTACTTTGCATAGATGTATAAACCAACTTTGACGCTTGCAGCAAAAGCAAAGAACAGGAAAAACATAAAGCTTAACCATCCGTGAGAACTTGCTGTAGAAATCTTTCTCGACAACAAGCCCGTCAATGATTCTAGTCCCACAGGGTTCACAGCCTCAGGAAGGTCAAAGGAAAGGAGAACATTGACATTACCAGTCTTGTCAAAGGACCAATGTAGTCCTGCCAGTCCACTTCTGATGACCCCAATAGGCAAGTCCCTTATTCTGATCATACCAGCAGTCACATTCGGGGTGGTAGAAGCCTGCACTGCAGCGCTCAAACGTGCAGCCACGTCCTTGGAAGGCAATTCTGAAGCAAATGCTGGTGGAGCAGGGATATTCCCCAAAAATCGGTTTGCCTGACTCAGGAAAGGATATTGGATATCTGCACAACAACATTCACCAAAAACATTTAGATGAGAGAAAATCAGCACAGGAAAAACAGCAGAAATTAATGAATATTAGAATGCAGGATTAAAAAACAGAGCCATATAAAAGCAATATCCACAGTTTCGCACCAGTCTTAGATGGCTTAGCCTTGGAAGATGATGCAACGTCATCAACATCACCTGTTTCGTTTAGTTGACTTCCTGAAGGAACTTGCCAAGTTGTATCCATCATATTCTGCAGAACAATAAACAGTTAGAGCTTGCAAATAATAATCTATTAACGTACAGTTAAGTTTAAGCAGCATTGCTTACCTGTTTGAAGGAGAAACTTTGATCAGCATCAATACCGATCTGTTCTGGAGAAGAATCAAAAATAAGATATGGTCCAATATCAAAATCATCTTCCAGATATGATCCAAGAACATCAAAATCATGGATATCTTCTTGAACAGGTTCTAGAAAGTCAACAGCATCCAGAAAAAGCCCATCCTTGGGGGGTGCATTACCAGAGAGTAGATCATCCAGCAAATCGCCAGGAGCCTGGTTACTCAAGTCATTTGGTTGAGCCATATGCTCATTTTTCACAAGAAATGCAGTGTTCTCATCTTGCCCAAGATCATAAAACTCCTGGTCATCCAGAACCTGCAAACCACACTTACCTTCAGACTCCTCAACAACGGAAGCTTGTTCAGCTCCAGTCACATTCTGGGAACATTCAAGATAGTAGTTGCTATCAACAGGGTTGAAGCTGACAGGAAAGGGAACATTTGCTGGAAGTTGGCAATCAACAACCTGGCACTAGCGATGTCAAAACTCTTGCAAACAGCAATGCCATTACAAAAAGAAAACATTTTTAAAATTCAGAACAGCTCAGTATTAACTATTGGCCGTACCTCTATCCAAAAATGACCATATTTCTATCCAAAAAAACAAAATCATGACTTCGTGACCATATATTAAAAATTAAATGTAAACAGCAAAAAAGTAAAATCTATGCGCTTTGCATGAAATCAAGTCAATTCAGCCGCAGCCATCAAACAAAAGAGACATGGACAAAGCTCGCAATACCATCAAAATCAGAAAATCCTACCAATCAAATAAAGCAGGTACAGTTATACCACAAGATTTGTCATGACATAGTTTCACAAATAGCAGGCAACTAATAAGCATAGCAACAAAATAGTTAGATCCTCCAGAGAGAACTTCTTTCAAATAAAGATTTATCGGGTATCTTCATGTTAGCGAATGTTCACTTGCTGACTGTGTACCCAAAAAAGCAGATATTCTCCGTTGTCAAAGAATAGATTGTCAAAACAAGTCCTTTGAGCACCAAAATAAAAGCTAAGTAGCTATCTTAAAAGTATTGATAGGGCATCAAAACAAATTACTCTGTAAGTTCCTAAACATTCTTAGTGAAAAAATCCGACCAAAAAGACAAAATAGTAGATAAAAGACAAACCTGTTCTAGATCATTCTGTTCAATGTATGCATCATCATCAACATAGGGATCTTCAAAAGACACCTCGGCAGGCACCACATCTTCCAAACTGTCATCTTCCCACTCTTCCTCCACGAGTGGCGCTCCATACTTCTCCCCATTCTTCGGTCCTGTTCCACTTTTCTGAAACACTCTGCACAAAACAAACCCTTCCTGCCAGCAGTAAACAATATATCAATACACCATAGTGCATTTCATATACTAAAACATATAAATTAATAATAAAGAAACAAACCAACCCATTAATCAAATTCAAGCAAACATATATCCTCACCGGCATATGACCAGCCTTCTCTAGCACATCATCATTGAGTTTGTATTCATGCATTACCCAATTGGTCCGCTCGCCGCGTGGAGCTCTACCTTTATGATAAACCAGCGTTTTTTTCATCCCAACAACCCGAGACTTATGGTAAACAGGCCTATCTTTCCCGGTTGTTTTCCAATAACCCTCATTCGTCGCTCGGTTCGTCCTCAATCCATTACCATATTTCCTATCCAGTGCACTAAAAAAATACCACTCTAGATCTCTACTCTTCAACTTCGACAATCCTAATAAAATCAATAAATATAACCTTAAAATATTCAAAGGAACCCAAAAATAACTAATCAAATCATCAAAACAATCATTTATCAATCAATAATGGACTAAATTACGAAATTCAGAAATTAATGCCCAAAATTATGAAATTCTATGATTTTGGTGATTTATTACAAACATAGAAGCAATTAAGAGATTCGAGAAATGGGTAACCTGGAAGATCAGAGGGTTCTACTTTGTAAATATCGATTTCAGAGATCGCATCGACACGAAAGGGTTTGCCGCTAACCTTACGCCTCAGATAATACCATACCAGTTCTTCATCTGTCGGGTGAAATCGAAAACCCGGCGCAAGAGATGTTGAAGCTGAAGAATTTCGCCCCATCAAATCCAACAGAATTGAATTGAATCGAATCAAAATCGGAAAAAGTAAAACAGGGATTAAATTAATTGCGATTGTGCTTGAATTTTTGAGAAGAATTTTGGGGTGATTGAAGACAGAGAAAATGGATGAGATTTGAGAATTTGGGAATTAGGGTTTTCGGGTCAGTCGAAAGGTCGAACAAGGATATGTGCCATTGTTGTTGTAAAGGGTTTGGGAAATTGGGAGAATGTTTGGGAGATTTAATTTGTGTACCTTTATTTACTTTTTTTTAATACAATTTTTATTTTTATTTTTATTTAATATTTATTTCATTTTTTCGTACTTTACTTGCATGTTTATATTTGAATGCATGACTGGGAGATTATCGGCCGAGGATTCAACTTCAGGGTGTAGGTCACTTTGACGGCAACTTTTATTTTATTCAATTCTAACAAAAATAATGGTTTTTTTTAAAAAAAAATAAAAACAACAAAAATCATACTCTATTCATTTCATAAGACTTGACACAGTTTCCATTTTTCATCTGTCAAACAATTCTTAACACGTTGACGTACTAAATATAGAATGAAACCACTAATAAATAAATATTTTTTCACATTTTCTCTGTCCTCACCTACTCTATTCCCACATCACTTGTTGTTTTCTTGTAATATAAAAATACAAAAGAGATTTTTTTATACAATAAACAAATGCTTTAAAAAGAAGAAAAATTACTTTTAATAAACCAACCTTTACTCCATTCTCCCAACATAAACCAACCTTTGGATTATTCCAGAATAATCCAACCTTTTACCCCTATCTTCCCATATCATACCCAAATGACTTGCTACCTAAGCATCAGGTCAAATTTTTTTATTTCCTTTTTTTTCGTTTTGACCACCCTTAACCACCTTATACCAAAAACAACCACCACATACACCTTTGGCCACCATTAATAGCACCTACAACCACCTCAACACACCAACATCACCACTCAAGACACCATCATCACTAAACACAGCACCTGCCGCCACACAAACACCCACCAATCGGCAGCAGTCACGCAATGACTAGCTCGTTACCACCGCCTCTTCCACCACTCACCCACCAAAACATAAGAACATCACAAACTTCAGCTCGCCACCATCAAAACTCCCACCATCCACCACCCCCATCCACAACGAACAACAAACAACCACCCTGCACCCATCAAAATCTGTCAACACCACCCTTACTCACCACGGACCACCCTTAAACTTTTAAACCCCAAACTTACCTTTCAAACTTTCAATTATGGTTTTATTTGGTTAAATTTAACAATAAAAACTCTAGATCTAGAGTTTTGGTAATTAAATTTAACCATCAAAACCTCACACTTGAGAGCTTTAATGGTGGTGAAGAATTGAAACACACACACACGAAAAAAAAAAAAAAGAAAAAAAAAGAGACAAAGCAGTGATAAAGAGAAGGGGTGCATGAGGTAAGAGGCGGCGTGGAGGTGGTGGTTGTACTTTGGAAGGAGGAGGATGAGGGAGAATAGCGTGAGGGCAATTTTGACAACAATGGTGGTGGGGGAGGAGCGAGAAACACGCGGTGGGTAAGTGTCAGATTCATGGTGGTTGTTGTGGGTTTGTGGTGGGGGTGACGAAAATGGAGGTGGATGGGATGGGGATTTGGGGCCAGATTCATGGTGGTTGTTGTGTATTGTTGGTGGGTAAGTGGCAGGGTAGGTAAGGTGGTAGTGAAGGAGGAAGGAGGTGGTCATGGATATTGGAGAAAGAGAGGAGAGAGAAAGAAGTTGGGTGATTTTTTTTTTAAAGAAAAATTGTAAATTAAAAAATAAACCAATAAAAAAATCTGAAATAATCCAAAAGTTGGTTTATTTTTGGAGAATGGAGCAAAGGTTGGTTTATTAAAAGTAATTTTTTCTAAAAAGAACCACTTGTGATTTTCTTAATCTACGTGTCCATCCTAAGGTCCCAAGTATTATGGGACAGAGGTAGTAGTTCATCCATTGTAAATGACTTGGTTTGACTTTGTGCACTATTACACCTAATTTGCTTTGATTACTTTTTGTGATTTCATGTCAAAAAAAGTATAATCATGTAGACTCAATATCTATTAAGGGCAAATTTTCAAATATAGTCGGTTGACGACAGTAGAAAAATGGGATGTAAGTGACAACGGGCTGGACCACCACAAAAGATTCCTCGTGTATCATATGTAGCAAAACTATGAACGGGAGCTAGCAAGGGACCGTATTAAAAAGGTTCCTAAGACACATCATAGAAATGTCACAATATTAAGAAGCAAATGAAGAAGGGGTAAAATTATGAGGCTTAACTGAGTTAACAATGGAGAGAGACAAGGGAGAGCAACTCTTCCTACTTTATCAATTATACTCAAAATGAGTCATTGTACAAGGTCTGAAATGTGCTTTCTACTTAACCTGGGATGTTTTATGAATGTAAAGCAAGTCCTGTTAGGATAGTTATTTTAAATTAAGGATAGCTAGATTGCTCTCTATAGGTAATTTAAGTGAGTGTAACAAAGGAACGAGTCGACAACATATTGTATCGTCACCAATAGAAGTCATTGTTAGCGACAAAGGCAACAACGGATTCCCGATTTCTTAGGAAAGATAATTATTCAAGGTCAAATCTACGTCCTGTCTCACAAAACTCTGTTAAAAAAAATAAGTATGGGAATAACAAATTTCCTAAGGGTGAATGAAATTGGCCGAAATCAAGAAACTCTTCCCAATCTTCACTCCGCACTCCAACGGCTAGTAGAAAACTAGCTTGTTTTGTATAGAGGCGGCTCCTCCTTGGACGAACACACAACATCCTATCATCATTATACTTTTCCTTCTATTATTTATTTACTATAATGAAAGTTTGGTAAACCCTCATTTTTAACTTTTTGGGTTTTTTGTGTACCAATTCTTGTCTTCTTGTTTCCTTTACACATTTTTACATTTGTTAGATTTAATTAAGTTATTTCGCAACCTTTATAACCACATATCTTACAAAATTTGAATTAACCTAGCCTCGTCTGTGGGGCTACATCTAGATTAAAATCCTCACCCCTATGAATTTACTTTTTTCAAATTAAGTTATTTACTTCTTTCAAATGTCTTCTAACGAGATAACCCTTGATCAAATAAGGGAAGTCTATAAAAAATATCAAGGTGGTTGACCTTGCTACAACCAAAGAATCCAATGAGCAAAGAGAAGGAAGCATGTCAAACAGATCTGGAGTCACTCTGAAAAAAAAAAAAAACTATATTAGAGTCGGCTCTAAGCAGCCGTCAACAGCAGTGATGAATCACTTTTATATAGTATTTATAGGCACATTATGCTAGTTTTATAGTTGCTTTTAGGGTCTTTTGTTGCTTTTTAGGTCGCAAATGCCTAAGTTGATTGTTTTGTACTCTATTACGCCCCGTTTGTGCTTTTTTTTTAATGATTCAGGTGATTTCATAGTCATTTGAACACTTTTGAAGTGTTTGGAGTTGATTTGAATGAAATTTAGATGAAGCCGGTGAATTGAGTTTATTAATCGAAGATCCCATGTTCGTGGATGTTGATTTTGAGATTTATATGTATGAGGAATGGATATAGAATTCACAAGGATCGCTATGCATCTTTCGGAAATGAATTTGAGTTAGAAACAAATTTAAATGATGATGAACAATATGTCAAATCTGACCTTTGCTCACTCTTTTTATCATAACTTGATTTCTACCGATCATATTGAAGTAATTCAAATTGCGTTGGAAACCAGACTTAAAAATATTTCTAATGATAGTTCACACTCCCCATGAAGATTCCTAGAATAGAAGCTATAGGCGTTTGAATCCAAGCAATTTTTCTTCGATAAGTGTCATTTCCAATGACAAGTGTCATTTATGACACATTTTAGGTTTTCCTAAAAAAAAATGACATATTTTAGGTTGGCTTTGTCCCTTAGATTTAGGTTTATTTTGGTCTTTCTTGCTATTTCTAGTACTTTTAGTCTTGTTTTAGTTATTATTGTCTTATTTTATGTTTTTCAGCCTTAAATGTGAATAATATGCTTTTCTCTTGGTTTATAATACCCCATTTCTTCCTTCTAAATTTTCACAATTCATCAACTCATCTCTCCTCTCTTATTCTCTAATTCTCTTATTCTCTAATTCCTACAATCTTACTCTATTTTGTGCAAAGAAAAAAAAATTCTACTAGTCTACTACTAAAAAAATAAAAATATTCTTAAATTTAAATTCGAGAAATTATAAGTTTGGGAAAGCAATTGAAGCGTCATTGTAAGATCTAACTCAACTTTATTTTAATTTGTTATTATTATTATTATTATTATTATTATTATTATTATTATTATTATTATTATTATTATTATTATTATTATTATCTCAAAAATAGACAAAGTCATACAACCTACAAAAAATTAGTGGGAAGCCGAGCTACAATCTGGGCCCCCACTCCTCTAGCTATCGCAAATCCTATCCTAGTGAAGATATGAGCTGCAGCACGTGCCCCAATGTCCTGAGTCTTCGAGAACTTCTTGAATCGCTTCAGCAATGCAATAGCCTCCTTTTCTAACTCCCCAAGAGAAGAGAAATAGAAAGGAAGGAAGCCATATCCAATTGCTCGATAACTGGATTCGTACTTGACCCGCTTCCGATTGGCCGCATCAGTCACTACTCGTCCAAGAACAAAACTGTGTCAAAGGAGAAGACCCTGTCAAGTCAACGCAGACATCGTGACCACGATCCCAGGAATAAAGTAACACATCTGTAGTTCTGAGGACCTCGTCGCTCCCTCCAGATAACCCAATGTCCACCTCCTTTCTAGCTGAAATCCCTGACCGATAGCAAACATCAACAAGGGTATCCCGAACAACATTATGCCGATGTTTAACGCCCACAATACCAGGACAAAACACCGCATGATCACCAAAAATATCCCAAGCAAAAACCCTCGAACAAGCAGAGCACGATGTCGTGATAGAGAACAATGGAACACCCACTACATGAAAAATGTCTTTTCGTAGCGATTATTTCGTAGCGATTGTACATTCGCTACAATATGCAAGTATGTTTGTGAAATAATTAAGGAAGTCGTATCATTTTACAATCGCCATGGTTTTCCCACATAAAATTGATATGGAAAACATAATAATACATATCCACACTATTTTTACACATTTTTATAATTTTGAGAAATCGTATCATTTACAATCGCCACTAAATCCTAAAAATCGATACGAAAAGCTTTTTCAACACTAGATATATAAATATTGTTTGACAAAGAATACATAAAATATGTCATAGCTTATTCTTTTTGGAACAAACTACATAAAATAATAGTGTAGTTTGATTGTTTAACAGGGGCGTGTGTGGCGACAACGTCGTGTTTTATTCTTTTTGGAACTCTGATTCTTTTTTATCATATTCCGGCTGATTTTCGTTATAAACAGCCTCCTTAAAACTCCTTTTTAATCACCAACTCTCATCAAGAAATTCTTGATACTCTGTCTCTCTTTTCTAAACTAGCCCTTTTACAAACACGAAATTCCGCATTCACAAGATCTAGACACACCTAGCCAAGTTC